AACATTGTAACTACCACCATAGCTTCTAGCAATGAGTTTCACCAATTCACTGCAAGAGCAAAACATTTGGGAAAACAAACACAAGGTTGAATATTATACCCTCTATGTATCCTCACCCTCAAATGTTGACTTACTGTATCAAACCCATTTCCTTGGGGGATTTCTTGCCGGGCTGGCGATAAAGGATCTGGTAAACAACCTTCCATGGCAATGAAAAAGCTGGATTCCCAGCATCACAGAAAGCACATGCCTCTCCAAATTAGATTGGGTGTGTCAACATAGAAAGTATGGAGAATAGCTTGCTTGCTTGTTCTTCCATTTGGGGGGAGGCAATTCACAACGTGGATGGACCATCCTTGGAGGCATCTCCCATTCAAGCTGACCACACTTATAACTTCCCACCACAACTATCCAGTGCTATTTTGCCAGTGTGTTGCCCATTCCTAGGGCTGCAAATTGATCTCAGTGGACCACACTTTCCAGAGGGCAAACCTTCTAGATCAGTGATTCCCAAACCTTTTTTGATCAGGGACCACTTTGAGCAGGGACCACTCTCTAACATTAGTACCAAAAGGGTTACAAATCAGTTTTTGGACAATTTTAGATTCAGTTTCGTTATTTGGGGCGCTGATTCACAAAATTGCATTGGATAGACCACATCAGCTCAAGTTTCTGATACAGAACATATGCAATCCAGTAGTTGCTATCTCCTCACCCACAGAAAACCATAGCCTATAAAGCCCTAAACAGTTCCGGCCCTGCTTATCCGTCCGAACATATCTCTCCTTACAAACCATCTAGGAATTTAAGATGTGTAAATATGTGAGAGGAAGCCACAGGGAGGAGGGAGCAAGCTTCCTTTCTGCTTCCCTGGAGACTAGGACACGGAACAATGGTTTCAAACTACAAGAAAGGAGATTCCACCTGAACATTAGGAAGAACTTCCTGACTGTGAGAGCCGTTCAGCAGTGGAACTCTCTGCCCCGGAGTGTGGTGGAGGCTCCTTCTTTGGAAGCTTTTAAACAGAGGCTGGATGGCCATCTGTCAGGGGTGATTTGAATGCAATATTCCTGCTTCTTGGGAGGGGGTTGGACTGGATGGCCCATGAGGTTTCTTCCAACTCTTTGATTCTATGATTCTATGATCTTCTGGGGAGGCCCTGCTCTCAGTCCTGCCATCTTCACGGGTTCGGCTGGCAGGGACGAGAGACAGGGCCTTCTCAGCGGTGGCCCCTCAGCTGTGGAATGCCCTCCTCATTGGCCCCCACCTTCTTAACGTTTCGCAAAAAAGTCAAAACCTGGCTATATGAGCAGGCTTTCCCAAACACCTGCTGATAAATTCTGATCTCAGAATGGTTGGACAACGTGACTGGACAATGATTGGTAATTGAAATGCGAAGGATTTATGTTTTTTAAAAATGTTTTTATTGATGTTATTTGTAACGCCCTTCCCACGGATATTAGGTTAGCACCATCTCTAATGGTATTCCACAAGAAAGTAAAGACCTGGTTATTTCAGCAGGCGTTCGAATAATTGTGCAATGACTGGTAATGACATAGGAATGGAACAATGGATGACGAATCTGGATCATGTTTTAGGGATGAGACCTTAGTGAATGGTTATTATAGTAATTGTGTATTAATTGTGTATTAGATTAGGTTATTAACTGTTTTATATTGGTGTTGAATTTTGCTGTGTCCTGTGTCTTGTGAACCGCCGTGAGTCGCCTCCGGGCTGAGAACCGCGGTATAGAAGTAAAGTAAAGTAAATAAATAAATAAATAATGAATTTTTATCTATGTTAAATGTTTTTTTTAAATGTTTTAACTATCTTTGTATTGTTGTGGGCATCGAATTGTGCCGTCCACCATGAGTCGCCCTCGGGCTGAGAATGGCGGTATAGAAATATAGTAAGTAAATAAATCTATATATATATAAATGCTCTGTGCATAATGAGTTCCTTAAAAACAAAAGAACCAATGAACGAAATCACTCCAAATTTGGCAACAAAACGTCTCACAACACAAGGAGTGACCATCACTCAAAAAATATGATTTTGTCATTTGGGAGTTGTAGTTGCTGGGATTTATAGTTCACCTACAATCAAAGAGCATTATGAACTCCATCAACGAGGGAATTGGACCAAACTTGGCAACAGAACTCCCATGACCAACGGGCAACACTAAAAGGGTTTGGTGGGCATTGACCTTGAGTTTGGGAGTTGTAGTTCACCTACATCCAGAGAGCACTGTGGACTCAAACAATGGTGGATCTGGACCAAACTTGGCACAAGAACTCAGTATGCCCAAATATGAACACAGATGGAGTTTGGGGAAAATAGACCTTGACATTTGGGAGTAGTAGTCACTGGGATTCACAGTACATCTACAATCAAAGAGCATTCTGAATCCCACGAACAACAGAATCAGGGCAAACTTCCCACACAGAACCCCCATGACCAACAGAAAATACTTAAGGCCATCCAGTCCAACTCCAGTCCAACTCCCTTCATGAGGGCAAGAAAACGTAATCAAAGTCCTCCTGACAAAGAGCCATCCAGCCATAGATAGATAGATAGAGATATAGATATAGACAGATAGATATGATTCACACACACAGAGATATAGTATCATAGATTTGAAAGGGACCCCTAAAGAAGGACAATTATATGTCGCATGTTTCAGAGTAGGCAAACCAGACAATTTCCACATCAACACTGACATAGAAACAAGGAATACTGTTTACCTACAAGCATAAAGGAACTACATATATTAGAAACCATTACTTTATTTTCCAGATCACCAGACTGGGCCACAGCAACGCGTGGCAGGGGATGGCTAGTAAATAAATAAATTTAATAAGCCTTGGCACTATAAGAGGGTTTTACGAGACCCGTCGACTTCATTGCAAAAGTGTAGTAATGTTTTAGTTCTTACGGTCCACGGGTTGGGAACCACTGTTCTAGATATTGCTCAGCCCAAGGACTTTTGCATCGTGCAAAGCCATTCGGAGAACGTGGTATCTCTTCTGCAGAAGATGACAGCTACATGCAAGCAGGAAGGAACTTCAGAGTGTACAATCCATGGGTTGGGAAGCTGTTCTGGCCTCCCAGAGGTCCCTAGATCAGCACTCCCAGCATTCCTGAACACTGATCTCCTGCCTGGAGTTGAGGGAGTCCAACAATGCAGGGAGTGCCCCTGCTGCAAGCTCTTTCCCTTCCTTATCACCTTAGAAACTCCGGGCAAGAATCTGCTTGTTTTCTTTTTGTGTTGTCCCAACAGACAATCCCTGAGCAAATAAACTGAATGCAAAACAGAAGAGAATCAGAGCAGGGCAAAGCAGCTTGACACAGAGCTTGGAAAAATTGCTCCTTTTGTACTATAAATCCCAGAACTCCACTAGCCATCATAGTCAGTCCAAAACTTAAGTACCTCCCTTGTCGTGGTGACAAACTTATCAAAATTCTCGGACTGACTCTTTTACACCCGTCACTCTACTCCCCCTGCTGTCATCTTGTAATTTAATCCCGTTTTGCCAAATATATTATTCAATCAAGTTTTATCGTATTTTAATTGATTTTAGTTAACTGATTTAGTTAATTGATTCAGATAACTATTACAGGAGTTTTAGCATAAATGGGTTAAACTCTTATACCGGCAGGACTGCTGACCAACAAGTCAGTGCTTCGAATCTGGAGAGAGCGGGGTTGAGCTCCCTCTGTCAGCTCCAGCTCCCCATGCAGGGACATGAGAGAAAGCTCCCACAATAATGGTAAAACATCAAAACATCCGGGCATCCCCTAGGCAACGTCCTTGCAGACGACCAATTTTCTTACACCAGAAGCGACTTGCAGTTTCTCAAGTCACTCCTGACACAAAAAATATAAAGAGTATAATGATTAAGTGTCTACTTTTCAGTGTATTTTTTCTTTTTGCCTTGTATTGTTGATACAGTGAGTGGACTAATCAATAAACAGATCTATCGATCTATCTATTTCATACCAATCTGAACCATGCCTGTTTATTAAATGATCCAAAGTGGAAGTCTGAGCATCTTAGTACATGTGAATTCTGACTTCTAAAAAATGGAACAGGAGGGGTAAGATGAACACAGTCTGCTCTGCAGCATTGTTACCTGGAACCAGACCTCTCCTCTAGATCACTTCTGGTTTGCTGTGTACAGGCTTCAAAACAGACTGTATGAATGAGAGGTATCCAAGACTCACAGTCAGACTGAGAAAGACTTATGCACACCTTCTCCTCATCTCAGCACTAGAAATGTTTTGCATGCATTAGGACCCAAATTCAATCCTGGAAGTCTTTGGGTAGAGCAGGAAAAAAGCCTGCCTGGAGCCCTGGTGAGCCACAAAGTTAACCAAAAATGGACTTGATGGACCAACAGCCTGATATGGTAGAAGACTGCTGCGGTTGTGCAAATCAGGATCCATCTCTGAGTGTATGAGCTGTTTACCTGTTGCCTCGGACTCTGAGGGAAGCTCCCTCTTTGGACGCTTTTAAACAGAGGGTGGATGGTCATCTGTGAGGGGTGTTTTGACTGTGCGTTTCCTGCATGGCAGAAAGGGGTTGGACTAGATGGCCCTTGGGATCCCTTCCAACTATGATTTCCGAAGAGGTTTGAGAAAGACTTTGATGCCGATCCAGTGTGGACTGGATTGGATAGACCAGCATGAGCAAACTTCGGCCCTCCAGGTGTTTTGGACTTCAACTCCCACAATTCCTAACAGCCGGTAGGCTGTTAGGAATTGTGGGAGTTGAAGTCCAAAACACCTGGAGGGCTGAAGTTTGCCCATGCCTGGAGACACCTATGAATTTACTGTGTTCCTTGGTGATGCATAATGTTGAGGTGTGCAATGCATCACTAGCAATACAGTTTGGGAAAGTGGCCTTTAGGACTATACTCCTACCAATGGGCCAAGAGGGTCCAGAGTTTTGGAGATCCCAAAAGGACCTTCACCCCCACCCCCCACCCCACCTGCCTCACCTGATGAGGGGCCCCAGGAGCAGCAGGTGCATGAAGAGCACGAAGGGCTTGTCGCTGGTCAGGTCCCGGTGGACGAAGACGAGGGTGAGCTGGTCCATGACGCAGGGCACCAGCATCAGGACCAGCGTCAGGGAGAGCCAGAAGAGGTCCTCCGAGCGGCTGTAAGCCATGCTCACCACACAGGCCGAGGCCAACTCCCCGCAGTACAGCAGCGTGGTGAAGACGATGCCCATCGGCGGGTGGATCCGGACCACCGGATGGGATAACTTGTGCACCACTGGCCCAGGAGGCTCCTCTTCGCTCCAGGAGGGCTCCGGCCAGCGGATGATTGCGGGGTCGCCCACCGGGTTCATGCCGGGCCAGGAGCCCCGTCCTCTCCCAGGAGGACTGGCAGGACACACCTCTGGGTCTCCTCCGAGGGAAGCTTGGGCTGGGCTGAAGGAGCAGGACACGGGCAGAGCACGGGTAGAGGAGTCTTCTCTCTCTCCAGAAAGCCCCACTTCTCCTTTTCGTTGATAGATCAGAAGATGGACACTTCTCTGTCCAGAAAGCCCTCCTTTTCCTTTTCACCGACAGCCCAGTCAAGGTCTCTCTCTCTCTCTTCAAAAAGCCCTTCTTCTCCTTCTCCAAGATCTCACTCCAGAAAGCCCTCCTTCTCCTTCTCCAAGATCTCACTCCAGAAAGCCTTTTTTCTCCTCTGGATGGTTCTTGCTCCAGAAAGCCCTTCTTCTCCAAGATCTCACTCCAGAAAGCCCTTCTTCTCCTTCTCTAAGATCTCACTCCAGAAAGCCCTTCTTCTCCTTCTCCAAGATCTCACTCCAGAAAGCCCTTCTTCTCCTTCTCCAAAATCTCACTCCAGAAAGCCCTTCTTCTCCTTCTCCAAGATCTCACTCCAGAAAGCCCTTCTTCTCCTTCTCCAAGATTTCACTCCAGAAAGCCCTTCTTCTCCTTCTCCAAGATCTCACTCCAGAAAGCCCTTCTTCTCCTTCTCCAAGATATCTCTCCAGAAACCCTTCTTCACATCTTTCTCCAAGATCTGGATGCTTCTCTCTCCAGAAAGCCCTTCTTCTCCTTCTCTGAGATCTAGATGCTTCTCTCTCCAGAAAGCCCTCCTTTCCCTTTTTACAGAAAGCCCAGTCAGTCTCTCTCTCTCTCTCTCTCTCTCTCTCCAGAAAGCCCTTCTTCACCTTCTCCAAAATCTCTCTCCAGAAAGCCCTTCTTCTCCTCCTTCTCCAAGATCTGGATGGTTGTCTTTCCAGAAAGTCCTTCTTCTCCTTCTCTAAGACCTAGATGCTTCTCTCTCCAGAAAGCTCTGCTTTTCCTTTTTATGGGCAACCAAGAGTCAGGATCTCTCTCTCATTCCAAAAAGCCCTTCTTCTCCTTTTTATAGAGTCCAAGATCTGGATGCTTCTCAAGATCTGGAAGCCCTTCCTTCCCTTTTTATGGGCAGATCAGGTACAGGATGCATCTCCCTCCAGAAAGCCCTTCTTCTCCTTTTTATAGACAATCCAGGATCTGGATTCTTCTCTCTCCAGAAAGCCCTTCCTACCCTTTTTTATGGCCAGCCAAGAGTCCAGATCTTTCTCTCTCCAGAAAACCGTTCTTCTTTTTATAGAAAGTCCAGGATCTGGAGCCTTCTCTTTCTAGAAAGCCCTTATTTCCCTTTTTTGTGGACAGTCCACAATCTGGATGCTTCTCTCTCCAGAAAGCCTGTCCTTCCCTTTTTACTGGCCGACCAGGTGCAACATTCTTCTCTCTCCAGAAAGCCCTTCTTCTCCTTTTTATAAATAGTCCAAAATCTGGATGTTTCTCAAGATCTGGAAGCCCTTCCTTCCCTTTTTGTGGGCAGAACAGGTGCAAAATCTTTCTTCTCTAGAAAGCCCTTCTCCTTTTTGTACAGTCTAGATCCTTCTCTCTCTAGAAAGCCCTCCTTTTCCTTTTTATGGGCAACCCAGAGTCAGGATCTCTCCTTCTCTAGAAAGCCCTTCTTCTCCTGTTATAGATAGTCCAAGATCTGGATCCTTCTCTCTCTAAAAAGCCCTTCCTCTCCTGTTATAGATAGTCCAAGATCTGGATCCTTCTCTCTCTAGAAAGCCCTTCTTCTCCTGTTATAGATAGTCCAAGATCTGGATCCTTCTCTCTCTAGAAAGCCCTTCCTCTCCTGTTATAGATAGTCCAAGATCTGGATCCTTCTCTCTCTAGAAAGCCCTTCTTCTCCTGTTATAGATAGTCCACGATCTGGATCCTTCTCTCTCTAGAAAGCCCTTCCTCTCCTGTTATAGATAGTCCAAGATCTGGATCCTTCTCTCTCTAGAAAGCCTTTCTTCTCCTTTTATAGATAGTCCAAGATCTGGATCGTTCTCTCTCCAGAAAGCCCTTCTTTTCCTTTTGATGGACAGCCCTGAGTCTCTCTCTTTCCAGACAGCCCTTCCTTCCTTTTTTATGGGCACTAGATCAGGTGCAGGATCCTTCTCCTTCCAGAAAGCCTTTCTTCTCCTCCTTCTCGGCAGATCAGAGGATGGCTCCTTGTCTCTCCAGAAAGCCCTTCTCCTCCTCCTTCGGGGCCGACCAGGGGCGGAATCCCTGTTTTGCCCCAAAGCAGGCGAACCGAGTCCCAGGGAAACGTGGGAATGCCTTTCCTTTGGGGCCAGGGAGCCAAGCGGGGCGGTGCGGGGGCTTCTCCTCTCCGAAGGGCGCTTCTTCTCGGCCTGCAAAGAGAGAAGGAGAAAGAGAAAGAGGCGAGTCAGCGGGCAGACAGCCTTCCCTCCGCCGTCCGCCCCGTCTGTCCAGCGGAGCCCAGGAAACAGGTGTGCCTGCCTGCCTGCCTGGCCCGGGCGGCGCCGCTGGGTCCTAGCGCCCGCCCGCCTCCCTTTGGCATGAAGTCCCTGGAATGCCTTCTCCTCTTAATAGAGAACTCTGGTGCATCTACACTACAAAAAGAATGGCCCCAGCCAGTTTTAATCACTGGTTTTAAATTTGCGTCTTGTGCTTCATCTTACACCCCTTCCACACAGCTGAATAAAATCCACATTGAACTGGATTACCTGGCAGTGTGGACTCAACCCAGTTCAAAGCAGATATTGTGGATGATCTGCCTTAACATTCTGGGATATTCCACCTCAGACATCAGAAGAGCTGCAAGACCAAGAACAAGCCACGAGAGTCAAGATGAAGATCCACCCAGAGGAAAAGTGTTCCTGCCATACATCAAGGGAACCACTGACCGCATAGGGAAGCTGATGAGGAAACACAACATACAAACAATCTACAAACCCACCAAGAAAATCCAACAAATGCTACGTTCAGCAAAGGACAAGAGGGATCCTCTCACCTCTGCAGGAGTCTACCGTGTACCATGCAGCTGTGGACAAGTCTACAGAGGGACCACCACACGCAGCATTGCCCAAACACGAATCAAGGAACATGAAAGGCAGTGCAGACTACTCCAACCAGAGAAGTCAGCCATAGCAGAGCACCTGATGAACCAACCTGGACACAGCATATTATTTGAGAACACAGAAGTGCTGGACCACTCTCACAACCACCATGTCAGGCTACACAGAGAAGCCATTGAAATCCACAAGCATGTGGACAATTTCAACAGAAAGGAAGAGACCATGAAAATGAACAAAATATGGCTACCAGTATTTAAAAAAAACTCAAAAATTACAACAGCAAAACAATAGAGAGTAAACAATCAGACACATAAAATCACTCTCAACAAAAGATTCCCCCCAGGCACTTCCAAGCCATTAAATGCTAATCAAGGTGGTCAGTTGAAACATTCACACCTAGCTCCAGCAGACAAGAGTCCTTTGTCCCACCCTGGTCTTTCCACAGATATATAAACCCATTTTCCTAGTTCCAACAGGCCTCACTACCTCTGAGGATGCTTGCCATAGATGCAGGTGAAACGTCAGGAGAAAATGCCTCTAGAACATGGCCATATAGCCCGGAAAAACCTACAACAACCCATTCTGGGTTATATCACTGTGTGAAAGGGCCCTTCATTCTATGTATTTTAATATGTCTTTTATAGAAATACATTTACTATTTATGTATTATGTATTAGTAATATATAATTATATAATATATATGTAATTGTTATATGTGTGTGTGTGTAATTGTCATATATATATATATATATATATATGCACACACACACATATATACATACCGATATACAACATATATATATATAAATATATGAGTGTGTGTTTTAGTTTTATATGTATGTGTGTGTATGTATATATATATATATACACACACACACATATTTATAGGTTGTTGTAAGTTTTTTCGGGCTATATAGTCATGTCCTAGAGGCATTTTCAGACCTCAGTACCTCTTAGGATGCTTGCCATAGATGCAGGTGAAACGTCAGGAGAGAATGCCGCTAGAACATGGCCATATAGCCCGAAAAAAACCTACAACCACCCATTGATTCCGGCCATGAAAGCCTTCAACAATACATATATTTATACATACATACATGAGCCTTATCTCATGGAAGTCCGACATCTGAGAACAAATGATGCATTTTCAGCTTTTCCCTGGATATTTTGGTGCCTCTTGGGCATTGTTAGACGCACATGAAATAGATTATTTTTTCCAATGTTGAGGCAAGAATATATATATATAATAATAATAATAATAATTATTATTATTATTATTATTAACTTTATTTGTACCCCGCTAGCATCTCCCGAAGGACTCGATGCGGCTTACAAAGGCCAAGGCCTCAAAACACAACACAACAATACAACACCTAAAGCAAATTAAAAACAATTAAAGCAATATTAAAACAACAAGCAATAAACAATACACCAAGACACAATAAAACTGGGCCGGGCCAGAGTAATGGGTACAGAATTAAAAGTGCTGATGTGATAGGTGATATGTAAGTATTGTAGGGTAAGTGCAGTGTGCAGTAGTCTTAATTTCGAATAAAGTGCTTCTGGGACTTGTTATTGGAGTTTTCCTATTCTGGAAAGGCACATCGGAACAGCCAGGTCTTCAAGTTCTTTCTAAAGACTGCCAATGAGGGGCCTGTCTAAGATCTTTGGGGAGGGTGTTCCAGAGTTGGGGGACCACCACAGAAAAGGCCCTGTCTCGCGTCCCCACCAAACGCACCTGCGACGCAGGCAGAATCACGAGCAGGGCCTCTCCGGATTAACGAAGTGTGCACGTGGGTTCGTAAACAGAGATGCGGTCACGTAGGTAGGATGGTCCCAAACCATTTAGACAGGCACGACTACTTCTTTGCACTCTGTCAATCCCAGTTCTCTGAAATTATTATGGCTTATGATTGTCTAAGGAAGCACCCACTAAGGCTATGCAGATACTGCTGAAAACAGAATTAAAGGAGTCCAATAACACCCTTTACCAACCAGATTCCCAAATGTTTCTGTGCAAGTTGGGGTTCCAAGATGAAGGCAAAAGTCACGCAGTCAGGTCATGAGAACCCAGCATGGGACAAGACCGTCTTTCTGCAGTTGGAACACTCTTTGCCCTTCCTCGGCCTGATGGGAAGGATGATTTCCTGCTTCAACAGGCATATGTGGAAAACATTGTAAATACGAATGCATTTGAGACTTTATCTCTCTCTGGTTTATACAGATCCCATTGACTTCCCACTGGCCATCGCTCCTACCCTTTGCAAGTGCATGGGTCACTTGACAGCAGGAGGGATGCCACCTTTGGCTGCAAAATACCCACAGCAACGGTAAGTTTCCATTGAGTGGTCCAAGACAAAGGCCCAAAAAAATCTTTTATATGGACCATGGAGGGAGTCATATATTTCTTTCTATTGGCTTTCACCCAAGTACAACAATTCTTCCCATCCTTAGCTAATGGCCGGAGCTGTGTTTATGTTGCCATAGAAGCCCATGGGAGTGAGTTCAGCCTGGAAATTTCCTGATGGGGGGGGGGGGGGTTTGCTGTGAGAATTTGCAGCAGGAGCTCATATCTTGCAGATTGAACCACAATACATTAATCTACACCAGGCCTGGGCAAACTTCGGCCCTCCAGGTGTTTTGGACTTCAACTCCCACAATTCCTAACAACAAGAGTCCAAAAGTAGCAGGTTAAAACCCAGAACCTCAGTCAGTAGCTGATACCAGATGAGAAACTCCTTCATGGGCACAGAAGGCTGGGCGACTTGGAAGGCACTGAACAGACTACGCTCTGGCACCATGAGATGCAGAGCCAACCTTACGAAATGGGGCCACAAAGTGGAGTCCACGACATGTGAGTGCAGAGAAGAGCTAACCACAAATCACCTACTTCAATGCATGTGCACAATGGAGGACCTTTTGTCCTGAGTAGCCCTTCAAAAACAGCCTTTAGACAATGTTGAAAGGAAAAGAAAAATGCTTGAAATGTGCAAAGGAAAGTCTTAATTCAGACACAAATTAAAGTCTCTTACGAAGTCCCAAAAGAAACACCAGTCTTCCATCAGACAACGGATGAGGAACTAAGTTCTTAGAGCAGACACAAAGCAGATTCCATTGGAGTAAAAACATCAGTATCAGGGTCGTTGTTACCAGCGAAAGCTGACTGCTCCTGCTATTGATTTATAGCCCTGAATTCCCCATGCAGGAGGTGCTAGGGCATCTCCCAATTAGCTCAGCGTTTTTAGCAGCTATCCTAACTGAACGCCGTCTATGCTCTGTCTCTTTTCGTCTCTCTAGAAAGGTGAGCACTTTCAAACCCTCATCGTTTGATTCTTCTTCATCTGATTCCCTGCTCCTCTTCCTCCTCTGAAGATGAGTAATTCCTAACACCTTCTTATAGCGACACCAGAAGCACTCCAAGTGGCCAGATACTGGTCAAAGGACATTTAATCAACTACCAAACTCACAAATTTTGTATTTTGTCTGTCTGTTTGCTTTGTTCTGTTAGAAATGTAATATAATTTGACTGGTTGTCCTGACACGACAAATAAATAAAATAAATAAACTTTGTTTGTAGTATACACACACACAACACACCTTATAACTGTATTCTCAATTTGTTTCTGACATGATAAATATACCCTGTTCTTAACTAGGAGTCATCTGTAATTGAGATGTTTGTAACTCGGGGATTGCCTGCATATGGCAGTATAGAAGGGGCCTTAGGGGTCCAGCAAAGAGGGGATGTTTGCCAAATTGGAACAGGGAAGCATCACTAGCTGCCTTCTCAATGACTCACTCAGCAGCTGAAATAATGAGTGCATAACAGATAGTCTGTTCTCATATAACTGACAGTGCTGCCCTCTGCGGCCAGTGCTGCATTAGTAGTCTATAATTAGTATTATTCGTTCCAGCATTGATGACTATTTATTTACCAAACAGAGTGCATATGAATGATTACACGCTGCAATTTTTTTCCTTGGTGTCTTGGTTTTTAGGCCTGTTCTTGGGGTTATTCGGGGCGCAGATTCAGAAAATTGCATTGGATGCACAACATCAGCTCTAGTTTCTTAGATATGGTTATCAGCCTAGCAACTTCCTTTGTGGAATGAAGAGAGAAACATATATTATTTGACTTTTGTATATATAGACTGGGATTTTGTGTGTTGCAATGATTCTTTTTGGCACAATGAGAATTCCCTATGCTTTGGCTCAGTTGCAAACAATTGCATAAACGTGCTGTTGAAGGCTTTCATAGCTGGCCTCACTGGGTTGCTGTGAGTTTTCCAAGCTGTATGATCATGTTCCAGAAGCATTCTGTCCTGACGTTTCACCCACAACCTCTGAGGATGCCTGCCATAGATGTGGGTGAAACGTCAGGAGAGAATGCTTCTGGAACATTCCCATACAGCGCAGAAAACTC